GTTACCGGGAAGGGTCTCTGAGGTATGGGGTGGGGGGCGTTCCGGTCTCCGGGGTAGCTGTGAGGTGGGGGCTGCCGCTGCGGAGCTGTGCCCGTGTCCCAGGCGAGGGTGTTGTCCCCACGGCCCGTGAATCTCGCAGGGGGATCCTTGGCATGTCCATATCCCTTTCCAAGGTTTCCCCAGGGCAGGGGTCCGTGCCTCCGCGTCTCGGCGGGCCATCGCGGGGGGGGCGGGCGCCCGTGGGGGGGATACTCGCATGCCGGTCCCCAAGGCAGGCTTGCCTTTGTGTGCCCGGCCATGGTTCCCATGTCGTTGCACATGGGTACATTTTGGGAATCCATCTATGACCCTGGGGAGGGGGACCTGTGACCCTGCTTTGGTGGGGGGGCAGGATTGTCCTCAGTGTATGAGCTGATCCCCAGGGAGAGAGTGTCCTTGTGTGCATGTTCCCAATGCCCCTGAGGGGGGAGGATGTCCCCATGTCCTTGTGTGTCTGGATCCGGGGGCTGTCCTCCAGGCACACAGGTGTATCTATGGGAAGGGGGGATCCCCGTATGGGTGGGATGCCTCCAGGCATAGCAGCATCTCCATGCGTGCCAGAATCTGTCTTTACTTTGCTATGCAGGTGTCTCAGCTGTTGGCTAATGCTCCCCTGTGATCTGCCAACCTGGGCAGGGTCTAGGCGCTCTCCTTGTTTACAGTGCTGGGACATAGTGCTTTCTTGCAGAGCTTCCAAAGCTGGAAGGCACTATTTGCCCCTAGGAAGGCCGAAGGGCAAGGCTGAGAGCCACTGGGAACCAGTTCTTGTTTGTGTGCTTTGAAACCTGGTAGCATTTTGTTCAAATCTAATGTCTGTCTTATGTGCAGTGTTGGAGCAAGTTTGTACATCAGGTGGTTGCTCCAGGAGCAGGGTGCTACAATAGATAACAAGCAGAACTGTTTCAGTGTTTAAAAGGTCACTACAAAGAAGACAGAAACTCTTTTTACAAGGAGTCCCATGGAAAAGACAAGGGGTGATGGGCGCAAGTTACTCCTGGGGGGATTCTGACTGGACACAAGGGAAAATTTTTTCACAATGAGAACAACCACTCATTCGAATAATCCCCCCAGGGAAGTGGTGCCTCCCCAGTGTTGGACACTGTTAAGATTCAGCTGGACAGGGTGCTGGGATATCTAGTTCTAGGTCATGCTTCACCTAGAAAAGTTGCACCAGCTGATCCTTGAGGTCCCTTCTGACCTGGGATTCTAGGAGTCTGTGAAGTGTGGCAGCTCCTTGTTGGACTCCTTGTTATAAGTGACAATTCTTCATCACAAACAGTCCTGAATCTGCGATGAAGACACTGTCACTCACCCTAATAAGCAGCATTGCTCTGCTGTACCAGAATGTTTGTTAAACTGGATGCAAACCTCGCCAGGGCAGGCCAAAGAGTATGCAAAAGGCAGCAAGCAGGCAGAAGACAGTGTGAGCTGAGAGCTGGCTGTACCTGCTGAGCCACATGCCTTGTGCTGGCAGGTCCCACAGGGCATAGGGAAGCTCAGGTTGTTAAAAGTTCCCCATTTCAGAGCTCAGTGCTCAGTGTCGTCGGCTCACAGGTACAGGCTGGAAGCACGGGCAGTCATCCTGAGCTTTGGCTGGTTTGCTCTGCTAGCACTTGGCTTGATCCAGGGCTGCAAGAAGGCTTGTCTCCTGAACCATGGATGCTGCTCCCACTTCAAGTGGCAAGCCACGTCTGGGTGAGTGGAAGGGCAGGAAGGGGAAGTGCCAAGGGAAGCGGCTGAGGAAGTAACAGGGAAAAGAGAAAGTGAGAAGAAACAGGTCCTGGCTGGAATGTGTGATAGGGGTGTTCTCTGTTCTCTGCTGCATCCAAGTTCCTGGCCAAGTCCCAAGAGCATCTGTCTGAAGTGTTGGTGTCCATGTTTAGATGGTCTTTTAATTGGAGTGAGTGAAGTAGTGAAAATGGAATCAATACTTAAAGCTTTTAATTCTAGAGTGAATGTCAGTGGAATGGCGGAAGCATACATCTGCTCTGCTGCTTCCTTCGGCATTCTGGAGGGGAGGACTTTTCTGGCTCCAATCCTGGCAAGTCGTCATTGTGCTGCTGAATGAATCCAGGCCTGGAGGAGATGCGCTGTGACTGTGACCAAGTAACTGTGCTTTCAGTTTTAGATCTGGAAGATGTTTTCCACAAGTATTCTGGGCTCTAAAATAAAATATTGTCAGGCTAAAGAAACTTCACTCAAGTATTAAGCAGCTGTTACTCTGATGGCAGAACCTTTCCCAAAAGAGTGCATATTAAAATGTAGATTTGTTCGGTTGTGCCCTTGATGTATTTGGTTTTTTCCTACTTCCTATCTTTTGTTTTGCTAGAACTGAAAGGCAAAGTGAATTAAAGGTTTAAGGTTTTCGTGGAAGCAGTCTGTTTGGAAACTGTTATGAAAGAGGAAAGCGTGTTAGATGGTAGAAAGAGAGAAAAGTTAATTAATCCATTCCCTTTTTATTTAGAATTGACATTGCTTTGCATGCAGTATAGTTTTTACTATCCCATCAGTGCCTTGCACTCAGCCTTAGCAGGTGCCTGACTGAGGGAAGGGAAGGAAAAAATCACTTGCTCTGCATCTGAGATTTGTTTGGTCTGATTCTCCTGGCTGTGCCTAGCCATGAGGAGCCATATGGGAGTGAAGTGAGGGAGTTCAGTGAGGTAGTTCAGTCCTTGCCTTCTTTTTTAATGCTGTGTGGCTTTTATTGAGTTAAAATGCTGTTGTTAACAGTGCATCATATTCTGCAGGGGAGTATTTATCAGCAGAGACACTGTTGTCCCACAAAACTGAGTGTGGTCTGACAAGAATGTTGGTGCTTATTTTCAGGAGTACTTGACTTCAGTGTTCAGAAAGTTTAGGGAAATTAATGATGGCTAAAGCAATGGCAACCTGGAGATTGTCCTCATCAAAAAATACTTTAAAGCAGCTTTGGAGTGGAAACCAGTTCACTCTTTGTTTATAAAATGGTGTCGTGGACACATGACATGCACATGCATACAAAGCCCTATTTGCCAGCACAGACTGACACTGAATTTCCATCCCCGTGTCGTTGCACCATGTATCCTGGGCTCAGGGAATGGAGCACAAAGGTCAAGTCCTACTGCCAGCACCAGAGGCAAAGTGGAAAGAAGGCCAAAGTGCAGCAGAACTCCAGCCCTGAGCCCATGTCATGAGGCTGTGGGAAGGGGGAACCACCTGTTGGTGAGGTGCAGACTGAGGCTTTAAGCTTGTTTTTCCTGTACTGGATTTTCTGCCTCCTTGCTGATGGGAATGGGAATGCTTCATTCCTAAATATTTTACCAGCATCGAGCAGAAAACCTCCCCAAGCTAAATGGCACTCTTCCAGTTGGTAGGTATGCACGTGGTGCTCAAGAAGTAACACTTTTACTAGATTTCAGACTTTAAGTAGCTTTGGCAGGGATTCAGCCTAGGATCTGCATCAGAGGATCCTCTCGGTGAAGATCAAGGTTGCTTGAATGGAACTGAGATTCATTCATGTACTGAGAGATCATCAGGCCAAAGACAGTTTCTTAGCAGAAAAAGGAGATCTGGGATTTACAAGTGAGAAAAGTAGCATTTTTCTTATGGACAGAACTTGTTCATACCATGGTCTGAGTTTTATGAGTGCTTTGAAACAATTTGAGTTTGTCTAGGGGCTTCCATGTGTCATTAATAGACACGGATTGAGTATTTTGTTGAGAGAGAAAGGCGAGAATAAATATTGTATGCTGTTCTTGTGGCTCGCTAGCTGTGCACCCTGAGCTCTGTGGAGTAATACTTTGGGTGGCAGCATTCCCTGGCACAAGAGCATGGTTTTGCAGAAATATTCTAGGGCAGTTGTGTTTGATTTGCAGAGAAGTTAGCTCACAGGCTGGAAACCCTCCAAAGTGCAGCAAAGTCCTCTGGTTTAGCATGTGAAGAAATGTTGAACCGTGCATCCAAAAGGCCACCTGCTATGTCTCATCAGCTGTTTGGGAAGAAAGCTTTGATTATTTTCTTTGCTCTCACTCTGGCATTGCCAGCGTGGACTTTGCTGTGAAGGTCACTTCAGAAGTGTGGGATCTGCTGAACTCTGGTGGTGGCACAGGTCAAGCTGTAAAAGAAGGAACTGTCTCATACTCAGGATTCTCTGAGTTAAGCCGAGACTACTGAGAATTCCTTTAACATCTGCAACATCTTTTCTTTAGGGTATGCTTACCGTAACATCTCCACCTCCACTGCTCTTCAAGGTAAGTGTAAAGCTTTACTTTGTGATTTCATTTTCCTTCTTAGAACCCACTGAGCATAAGCTGATAACATGTTTCTGTTTGTTTCCAGCTAGAACCCATGTTAGCTGTGATATCAAAGGAGATGTTGCTGTTGTACGCTTCAATGACCCAAATGCAAAGGTGCTGTTTTACTTGGCTGTAGTGGATGGGCATGTTGGTGGAAATGACAGGAATAGCAGTTGTACAGAGAAGACATTGAAAAGTCCAATCTAAGACTTAAGAACTGTCCTAACCTGCAGCCTTTCCAAGTTACGAGCAAAGCAGAAATAAGAAAATGATCATTGAGGTGTTTAATGAGAGGTCTGAAAATGCCTTATGGAAATGTTTCGTGTGTACTAAGCTAACTAGTGTGAAATCTTACTAAAATTATATTAAGTTCTTATATTCAAGATGGTTAAGGAGAGTGTCTGTTATGTAGAGGAAAAGCAGCAGCTCATTAAATCTGTGTTTGAGGTCACAAACCCACTGCTGGAGAAATTTCTTAAGAACAGGTTATTTGATGATCTGCTGCAGGGGTTCCTCTTGAAGGATTTTTTTCTCACTGTATTATGACACAGGGTGAATTACTTTTTATAGCAAATCTAAGCTCAGTTTGAGCACCCCAGAAGTGTTATAATTGTGCCAAGCAATGGGCTGGCTGTTGGGCAAATTCCTGGGTAGTCTAGTAATTTTTCTTTTTTTTTTTTTTTTTTTTTCTTTCTCAGAAGGCACATCTTGAAAGACCATAGAACCGCTGCTCCTACTGGTTTGGAAAATCCAGTTAGAGATGCCATTGGCTTTGGCTTTTTATTGTCAGTCTGTCTTCTGTACAAGTTTTCTGATGATATAAGGATTAAGTCCAGTACTTAATCAGAGGCTAAACTCCGCCATCATCTGGTCTCCCTATTTACAATGCTTATTTGCTGTTTTCAGGTGAACACTCTCTCAAGACAACTGAGCTCAGAGTTTAATGAGGTAATGAATGAGATCTGGGCCAACGAAGCTGTCAAAAGTGCCGTCCTCATCTCTTCAAAGCCAGGTTCTTTCATCGCTGGAGCAGATATCAAGTAAGTATTGGGGTGCTGGAAGTTACCCTGATGAAGCTTTCTCTGAAGTCTGGCATCCAGGTCTGGTGCGCTGTGAAGGCAAAGCAGTTTGTCACTGACGTCTCCCGAGGGGTGAGGCAGAGGCTTGAAATGAAACCTGTGTGCACAGGATGCCTAACCTGCTCGAATGAATTTAGGACCTGTTTGAGTGAGTCCAGAGGAGGGCCACAAAGATGCTCCGAGGGCTGCTACGGAGACAGGCCAAGAGAGCTGGGCTTGCTCAGCCTGGAGAAGAGAAGGCTCCAGGGAGACCTTAGAGCAGCTTCCAGTGCTTAAAGGGGCCAACAAGAAAGCTGGAGAGGAGCTTTTGACAAGGGCCTTTAGGGACAAGACAAGAGGGAATGGCTTTAAACTGACAGAGGGGAGATTGAGATGAGATCCTAGGAAGAAGTTCTTCCCTGTGAGGGTGCTGAGGCCCTGGCACAGGTTGCCCAGA